CAGCGATGGCCCTTGTACGCTCCTCGTAGCGCAGCACTTATGCAGCTCCGTGTAGCGATAGCAGCCACTTCACCAAGTTCTAGGTCTCCCTTATCGGCAGCGTCATGTATCAGTCTACAAACTGCGTCTTCGTCTGGGATTTGAATGCTGTCGCAGCCACTCGATCACGGCGCTCTGCTCTTCGTGGATGGCTTCACACCACTCCATGCCTCCCCAATGAACTCTGCTCTGGTGCTCTTCAAGTAGCCACTTCAAAACCTGCAATTGTCCACTCGCAGCAGCAGCGCTCGCCGCGGAAGACAACGTCCCATGGGGCATGTAGGTTTCTGCAAGCCAGATTAAAGACGTCAAGTCTCCACGCTGGGCAGCTTGCACCACGACGCCATTAAATTCCCAGTCGCGATACAGCGATTCGATTGGACGTCGATGATCTTCCAGCAGTCGCATGCAATGCAAACTGTATGTGCACTCGTACACGTCCGATAAAGTCCACGAGCAGGTGCGATCCAAGAAGCCGTCGATTCGTTGAGCCACATGCGGGAGTTGTTCTCCACTGCGCTTTACGAGACACTCGCGGTACACGACGAGAACGCTCGTCCAAAGTAATGGGTCCTCGAACAACTCCATTTTTCGTATTAAATGGCAGAATCAATTCCTGGGAGCGAAAGTGATTGTGAGCCGAACTGAACAGCATAGGATACGACCAATTCAAATTGTGTCACAACATTATCAGAGAAGGGAAAATACTGCCAAACTGACGATCTGTTGCTTTGCCTACTTCGAAGTCTGTTGGCTTTTTTAGTCAGTACGGACGGACATGGTGACAGAAGACAGGGCGAGAGGAGTAAGTATGCTCAGGGTGGACAATTTTAGAGCTACACCGAATGTAGATGGACCTTTGCTGAATCAAAAGAGCACGAATTCAGAAACGGACCACTACGTTGAATAAGAGGCGCTCGATCATTCTTCCAATAAATGGAAGCTACTTCGTATGTGGTGTCTTTGCAACCTAGAGAGAGCTGAATTCTGATCTAGCTGAAGCTATTGATTTTTAATGCAACTTTAAGAAAACGCTGTGTTCTAATTGAAAAGTTTAGTAAAGATTTTCAGGACAAGCAAAATGCTAATTGCGCCAATCTCGTATGTACGCCGTGCTTCTGTCTGCGGAATAATCTCCATCTTCGGGGGATATTTCTTTTTGTTGTGGCATCGCCGTTTCAACACGAAGCTGTCGTCTTTTTCGATAGCGTCGGGCTCTCTCGCGTCTTGCATTATCTCTGTCTCATCCAATTGTGTACAAACGCCGTTGATAGCTTGCGTAGTTGGCCTCATCATTGACACGAAGTGGGTGCACCCGCACGTGAATGTTCGTCAAAGTCACGCATGCTCTGAAGTTCAATTCGTAATTGGGCTCCTGCCATCTATACTTGTCGGAGCAGACAGCCCACAGCGTGCACAGTCTACCAAAGTAGTTATCCACTATGACGCAGTCATGGGAAATTGCGGCATTGGTCGCCTCTTGCTCAAGCGTAATTGGTACTGATGACTGGCGTCGAATTGTGTACTATCTTCATAAATGGTGCGAGCACCGGGGATCTGGCCGTGAATTCTGTGCTGTAAACTTAAACCCTAGATATCGGTCTCTGCTACTCCATGTAGATCTCGATTGGCCCTGGACGAGCCCCATACTGTATATGGACCGCAAGAATGACAGAATCTCTACCTACAAATCGGACTTACACTATCCGTAATCTCGAGTGGGATCCAGTCTATCGTCTAGTCTGATTGATTTAGCCATGGTGCCGCCAGACATGATATGGCGACAGATCCCGTACGATATTATATCTGGTGCAGTGAGCATTGCTCACTCTGAAATTTTCCATGTCGTCGCCGACTTCCTCCGATGGAGATTTCTTTTCTTCGTCGTCGTCGTCCTCTTCGTCAGCTTCCGCCACATCGACGAATCTTCTGATGGAGTAGCTTCCATTTATTGGAAGAATGATCGAGCGCCTCTTATTCAACGTAGTGGTCCGTTTCTGAATTCGTGCTCTTTTGATTCAGCAAAGGTCCATCTAAATTCGGTGTAGCTCTAAAATTGTCCACCCTGAGCATACTTACTCCTCTCGCCCTGTCTTCTGTCGCGTACAGATTTTGTCGAGCCCGTTATTTCAGACCGCTGCGAGATGACATGGGTTGAAAAATCCTTAGTGAAACCAAGAAATCTGCTGGAGGGGTACCCCCGACAGAAGTATGAATCTGTGGGGTGACCTTGTTCTATGGTCATTTATTAATTAGCCGAAATCTGTCCGAAATCGTGGGCTACATATCCTGTCCAATATTTAACGCCCAGAAATGGAAATGCACATACAGCTTA